GAAGAGGCATTAATGCAAGGGGGCTTGCCAAAGAGGAAGGGGGTGGAGGGATTAATGTAGAAGGGGCCTATCAGAGAGGGAGGACGAGGGCTATAGCAGAGGAGGCTCCAGGAGAGGGACGAGGGGGATTTTACATAGGGGGCTTGTCGGCAAGGGGAGGAAGGAGCTTATTGGAGAGTTAGCTTGTCAGAGAAAGGGAAGGGGATTGCTGGAAAATTTTCCAGGGTCAAAATTCCTGATGTGTTTCTTCTCTGAATTTTCGCCTAGATTTAATGAATTCTGTCAACAGTATGTCTTTCTTTGGGACAAAAAAACTGTGATATCTAATTAGGAATCTAATTAGGAGATAATAAGGGGTTTACCCTGAGGGAAACTAACACAAGCTTTCAATGACACGAATGTTTTGTACTGAGGTGCAAACCAACCCAAATGAATATCAATATCACAACTGTTTTAGAGTTTTTGTTTTGGAAAGGGAGGACCTCAATATAGAGAAACTTATTGCAAACTTGAAGTTCCAGACAGGGGGCTTTACGGGGGGGGGGGGGGAGACTTATACATGAGGAGTTGTTTTCTAGTAGACCTCTCAAACACTGCGCATTAAGTTCACACATAAATCGATCATTAGTGTACTCTTAAACTAACACAAAAAGCATGACAAAGATGACTACAAAGTATATGCAGAAATAAGAGAGACTAAATCCAAAAAGTGACGAATTTGTCGATTTAAGTAAGCCACATTCATATTAATACAAATGTACTAAACCCATGCCATGAAACTTATAATCATTTGGCTGTCAAAATAAATCAATCTAGTCTTAGATCAGAAAAATGTATAGCTATGCACGAAAAACGGAATATTAGAAAAGTTTACATTAGCCCACTGTTAATCACAGTTTAAAAGCATTTAACTAATCAACTACAGGAGAAGGAAATTTATATGTATATTTATAATAAAGTTCGGATATAACGCGCGCTGTCATTGGCTGAAAGAGCGTGCTCTATGAGAGTATAGAGCATAGAGCTGAGCTAAAGCCGTCACGCCATCTGCCAAATTGTACTATGTTCGACCTTTTCCGGGACTTCTTTTTAGCTTTTTTCCGATAATGGGAAGTGAAATTTCGGAACAAGCGAGCCGGCAAGTAGCAACAGAAGAACCAAACAAATTTTTGTAAACATACCAGGCACCGTGATTTACGTTATTAAAACGTGAGCAGATACGAAAATCCTCAAAGGAAAAATAAAATAGACATTCCGAGTTTTAGAGATTTTCACGCTCAGTTAGATTGCAAGCTTACGTACGGTAATAAAAATCAAACACAGCTAACACTCGTATAGTATATAAAGTTCAGAGTTCAAAAACAAAACAATTGATATCCTTTCCGATGCATTGAGTGGAAAGTCACATCAGTCACTGCAGCCGAGTTTTGCGGCGCTGTCATCCCGAGCGATCTTCATGTTCCGGTGAATTCGTCTGTCGTTCATTCAAAAACGCTCACCTTGAACAGTTTGTTTTCTACCTTGTCATGTGAAAAACCTCGCGTGTTTTTATGAGCCATAATTCAGCTGAATTTCACTGCAAATTTCACTTCAAGATTCTGTATTAGAGACTTAAAAACTTCAGGCAAAAGTGTTAAATTCGGCCTGCCGAACTATTTCAGTTTGTAAACTATCGCAGAATTTGAACTTTGATGGTTTTTGAACTTTGATGGTTTTTGAACTTTGATGGTTTGACACTTTAGACAGCTTTAGTCTTGTTCGGTTTTTCCGTATTGCAGTGGTCGATACATAGAAGTCGAGAGTGATATGAATTGAGTTATGGAAAAATAAAGCAAAGTCTCTGTTTTCCCCCATTTTTCCCCTAATTCAATGTAGTTTATATATATATATCTCGATTGGTAACACTTCCCAAGACTCCGAATTGCATGCCACATTCAAATCAACTTTTCTTTCCCTAGTTGTATAATGTACTAATATGTTTAGCGCTAAATTTTAAAGTACAGCATTTCCAGCTATCCATACTCGAATTCTACAAAAGATTTTCGCACACTGTGTAACCATGACTATGTCGTTAAGTCGCGCGGGATCGTTCGGGACAGAGCCTGATACTGAGAAAATACCAGACCTCATATGAACGGTGGTACAGTGATGTGATTGGTTTCTCTTATTTCACCGGCTTGGATTGGTTAATTGGTTATCTAAAGTTCGGTCGAATACAAAATAATTGATTCCACGCAGATATTGAAAAGGAAAGCAAATGTCAGCTCAGGAGAGAAAGGTTAGATTCATTTTTCGGTTTTGTGACGTTTAAGAACACACAAAGTCATTTCCTTTGATATTTTTTTTGGAACAGCTTAGTTTTTACTGTGAACACAAACGCGGATACGCAGCGGGCAAGTTTGGGAATGCCTTTTACTGTGATCTTGTCAAAAGTGCTTGTTGCGTTGTTCTTTAATTTCAGGAAGAGAATTCATCATCACACAGAAACGTGGGCTGGAATTTGACCATGGAATTATTGCGAGCTATTTTATCGCTTAAGCACCTTGGAAATAGTCGAGGAACAGTCAAACCTTCTCTTCCTCGCATCACTGGTGTCGTTTCAAGTAAGTGTATAGTAGCTCACGGAACTTTACTTTCTGCGTGGGTTTAAAAGTCTTATTTGTCGTTAACGATAACAATGTGCTCGACTGTCTGAGTTATCTATTTATCATTGGTTAAGTGAGTCGCATCTAGTCGCGAGCGATGAATTTCACGCGCTAAAATGTAATGAAATGCTCTAATAAATCGATTTCGTCATGGAGACGCTCAGTAGTTAAAGCGTTGCTAGAGGAAATAAAGTTGGATGTGTTGAGTTCCACACCTTGCCTTCTATGAAATCGTTATGCCAATAATTTTCTAGCTTTTAAAAACGATGGACGGAAATTTTGTGACTATCTGAAAACGAAAATGATGACTTATTCAAAACAGCATTCGATTACTGACAGACCTATACATTTCCATACAATAATTTTCCGGGTACAGCATTTACTCAGGCATAGTAGATAGCAAAGTAAAATGCATTAAAACATCAACATTCCCTGAAAAATTGAGAACAATTTTCGTGAAACTTACCGATGGCGTAATAAACTAATGAACAGAAAGTAAGTCATAGAAGATATGGCCTACCTTGACACAACTTAGTAATCCTTTCCACATCATTTTAAAGTAAAATTACAAGTCTTTGCGCAGATAGAAGTTAAAATACTGTGCTGCACCACATTCGAAAAAAAGAAAATAAAAGAGATTTGTTTTTTATACAAATAAATCTTGCATAACAATTCAACCTAGTATGCTTCATTCCCCATAGAAAAATAATTAAGAGAAAATTAAATCCGGATTGATTCCCTTTCACATGACGAGTAGTCACAAAAGCAAGCCACACTTAAAAGTGTAGTAGTCCACGTTTTGAAGTACGTTTATTTACACCCCCAGTGTCCTGAGGAAAACAGAAATTTGTCGATTACAGACCCCGGAAAGTCGATTTAAGGCGCTTCTATTGGCGATTACGACATGACGTACAGATACATAGCATAAACTAGTGATGAAATTAAAACTGTCCAGAGGCCACAAAAATAGCTGCATTGTTTCGGTCTCAAATATTTTCCTTTGGAGACTGTGGAGAAGATTTTAAGGGTCATTTTGATCATTATGGCCGGGTCAAATGTGTCTGGGCCGGTTCTGCCACGACGATTTTTGTGTCGCTACCGTGTTACCTTGTCTTCAGCCGTTCTAGAAATCGACCAGTGTGATTTTCGATTTTCATGGTGTAACAATGTCCATCAAAATCTTCTATGAGACCGCATACCCGCGCATGGCATGTGGTAGCTCTATTTCCCTCGGCGTCATTTAATACTGACACTGAAATTACCAACTCGATAAATCTGTTCAAAGCCGTCATGTCGATTTTTGTTTTCAATATCACGTTAAACGCCGTTCACTTATCAGCGAACAAGTATTGGAATTAATCGACAATACCACAATTAAGACAAACGTTACTCTTGAATAAAGTAAAAATCGTTCACACATAAAAATTTTTTCTCTCGTAGACCCATCAAACCCTGCGTATTAAGTTCACACATAAATCGCTCGCTAGAACACTCATTAACTAACACGAATAGCACGACGAAGATGACCACAAAGTACATGCAGAAAAAGGAGAGACAATTCAAAAGTGACGAATTTGTCGATTCGCGCAAACCACATTCGTGTTTATACAGATGTACTAAACCCATGCCATGAAATTTATTATCATTCCGGGCTGTCAAAATAATTAAATCTAGTCTAACGTTAGAAAAATGTACAGCTTTGCACAAAAAAGAATATTAGAATAGTTTACATTAGTCCTCTGTTAATCACAGTCAGGAGCGGGTCTCCAGTCACAGTTTAAAAACATTTAACCAATCAACTGCTCGAGGAAGATATATATATATATACACAAAGAGTAAAATTTTGACATTCGTAAAACAGTGCTCAATACACAGGAGTAGAGCGATGTATGCATTGTGGGAGGAAAAACTGAAACTAAACTGTTAAATTTCGCGCTGCATAAATTAGATTATATTGTATACAAGTGATGGTAAAGATTATTCTCACTAAATCCCCTGATGAGTGGGCAACCACGAAGCAGGTCTGTTCGGATGAACTCGTAGTTTATTTGTCTTTTTCCTCCCACAATATGTATACATATCGATTGGTAATACTTCCAAAGACCCCAAAAAGCGTAGCACATTCAAATCAATGTTTCATTGGCCTTGATTAGGAAGGGATCAACAACTAGTTGCATAATTTACTAATATGTTTAACATTTAAAGTACAGCATTTCCAGCTATCCATTCTCGAATTTTACAAAACATTTCCCGCACACTGTGCAACCATGAGTATGTCATTAAGTCGCGCAGGATCAGTCGGGACAGAGCCCGATACTGAGAAAATACCAGACCTCACGTGAACGGTGTTAAGGCGACCTGATAGGTTGCTCTATTTCACAAGCTTCTAGTCGTTAACTGTCTGGCAAGCTAATGTTCGGTCGAATGAAAAATAATTGATTGCACGCAAGTACTGAAAAGGAAAGCAAATATTAGCTGAGGAGGGAAAGGTTAGATTCATTTTTGGTTTTGTGACGTTTAAGAGCACACAAAGTCATTTCATTTGTATTTTTTTGTAACAGCTGAGTATTTACCGCGAACATAAACGAGCATACGTAGCGGGCAAGTTTGGGCATGTCATTTACTGCGATCTCGTCAAAAGTACTTGTTGAATTGATCATTAATTTCATGAAGAGAATTCATCATCACACGGAAACAGAGGCTGAAGTTTGATTATGAAATTAATCCGAGCCTTTTAATCGCTTAACCACCCTGAAAATAATCGAGGAACAGTAAAACTATCTCTTCTTCGCATCACTGGTGTGACAATCGTTTCAAATAACGTTTTAACTCACGGAACTTTATTGTCTAGGGTTTGAACGTCTCATAAGTCGTTAGGGATAAAAATGTGCTCGACTGTCTAAGTTATTAGTTGACTGAGCCGGATCTAGTCTCAAGCGATGAATCTCAGATACTCAAATGAAATGAAATGCTTAAAAAATCAATTTCCTCATGTAGGCGCTAAGTAGTTTATGCATTGCATAGGAGGAAATATAGTTAGATGTGGTGAGTTTCCACACCTTGCCTTCTGCAAAATCGTTCTGCCAATAGAGTTCTAGCTGTTAGCAACGATTGACGGAGATTTCGTGACTATCTAAAAACGTATGCGACGACTAGCAAAGTAAAAAGCATTTGATTGACCTACGACGTAGCTAACTAATTAATGAACAGAAAGTTAGTCATAGAAGGTGTCATACGTTGTATTAAGGTAGGCCAGTGGCCTACCTTGATACAACGTAAACCGTTCCACGTCATTGATTAAGCAGAATTCAAAACAAAATCCTTCATCGTAAACTAAAATCACAAGTCTTCACGAAGAAAAAGTTCAAATACTCTGCTGCAATACATTTCAAAAAATAATAATTAAATAGTTTTGCTTTTTAAATTAATAAATCTTGCGTTACGATTCAACTTTAAATTCTTCGTCTCCAGTTTGCAATAACCATATCGGAAGATTTCATTCGCCACAGAATAGGAATTAAGAGGAAATTTAATTCGGATCGATTCCCTTTCACATGACGAGTAGTCACCAAAGTTAAAAGTGTCGCAGTACACGTTTCGAAGTACGTCCATTTACACCTCCAGTCTCGATTATTTTGGTTTGGAGACTGTGAAGGATAATATTATGATCATTCTCATTATTATGGACGGGTCAAACGTGTCTCGGCCGGTTCTGCCACGATGAGTTTTGCTACTCTTCCATTGTCATCAGCCGTTCCAGATCTAGGTCATGTAATTTTCGATTTTCATGTTGTAATAATGTCCATCAAAAGCCCCTTTGAAGTCCACTGACTGTAGGGCTAGTAGGCGTACCGCATAAACGCGCATAGCATGTGGTAGGCTCTATTTCCCTCGGCGTCATTTAATACTGAAACTGAAATTACCAACTTGAAAAATTTGTTTAAAGCCGTCAGGTCGAGTTTTGTTTTCATTATCACATTGAACGCCGTTCACTTGTTAGCGAACAAGCACTGAGGGTAATCAAAAATACCACAAATAAGACAAACGCTATACTTGAATAAGGTAAAAATCGTTCAAAATCAATTTGGAATTCGTATGATCACAGACAACAACGCTGACTAATCTTATATTCATATATAACTTGTGACAAAATCAACAAACTCAGCAAAGCAGTGACGCAGGTTCATTTACGAGATAAATGAAATATTTTACCTCTGGGAATACTAAATATAACACGAAAAGCGTATTTATCACAAGATAAATTAAAGGTTGGCTTACTTGCTTACTTCCTTGATAGTTCTCGAAGTTTTGCATTTCATATTCTCAGCTTGGCCCAAATTAAATGTAGGCCACCAAAATCTGCATGCTCCCAAGAAGACCTAACGTCCGAGAAGACTACATTCATTACCGATCTTTCAGGACTACTTGTGAAAGTCCTAACAATTCTTGTATAATGTATCAAAGCTCGCCAAATAGTGTAGAGGATCTTAATCCGTAGGATCAATACATATGGCGTTACTATACTTTTGCCAATGAACTGGAGCTCAGTCTCCCTAACGGTAACTCTTCACACAAATGTTAAAAGATTATTTAACTTTAACACTCTTGACTTAAAAATGGTGGACCTGGAATCCTTTTCATGATTCTCAAACATTAATAAAAGCTAAGCTCGACATGTAATACCTCGCATTATCCGGCGATGAACATCATTTTCTAGGAACGAAATGAAATGTTTAAAAATCGTGCGGGTTATAAGTTGTATTAAACGGCGTTGCGTGACACTAATCCCTACTTGAAATAAATTATCTATGTAGAAGCTTACGCATCGACTTGGTTGGTGAGTTGCTTCTTATCACCTTTGCTGAATTACTAAACACAAACTTAATTTCAGGCCTTTAGCCAAGGAAGAGGACGAATTTCTGAGGAGAAAAACTGACCTATGAGTATGGCCCGTAGTGCAAGATTGCGCGAAAAATTACGTAATAAATAATAATTCCATTTAAACAAATTGAAATTTGTATTGGCTTCTTCAATACAACTTTTGAAAATGAAAATTTCGTAAGAAGATTTAAAACGAGTAAATTAAAAGTCCATCACCGAAAAATAAAGGCCAGAGGTCATGAAAATAGGAACGCTACTAGTGCGCGACAAACGAACTGAAAATTTATCATCCCTTTATTTTTGGATTTCTTTCATTTTTCTGTTTCATTCAAACACATTACACTCGTGTCTCGCATTATTACCGGAATGTAGCATTAATTCTTGTCTTACCCAGGCGTATCGTTCACTCCAAAGCTAATTTTGTGGCTCTTAACTTCTTTTTTCGGAAATATGTACTGTTAAGAATATTTACTTTTTATTTTGAAAGGTTTGAAACCTCGCGGTTAAACTCGACGGGAACTTGCAGCTACACATGCCATGTTCAGGATACGCGGTCGCACGTACTTAAGGGCTTTTACCATAGCAGCTTGGCTTAAGAGCGAAAGAGGAAAGAAAACGTCGATGAAGCAGACGAAGGTTGGATTTGTTCCCTTCGTGTTATTAGTGATTAAGCACCTTGTAGGAAGATGCACAGATAATTTATACTAGTTAATAATATACAAGCAAAAAATGACTCTATTTTCCTTTCTAGTTCAAACTTTTAAAATCTTCCTTGAAAAATTAACCGTCTGTACTCTTTCTCCGTTAGATATCAGTCGACAGCAGTAAACATCAAATGAAAGCTATCACGCTCGTAATCTTCCCCGTCTTTCGTATGAACTGTTGCATTAAACACCTCGAAACATTTGTTTCTCCATCTACTTTAAAATACATTGAATTTATTAGAGTGAGAAAGATGGAAATTCGTCTCACAAATTTCTCTTTGTCTCGAATTGTTAGCGGTCGACGTGGGTCGAGTATTACCGGGATGTGGCATTCTGCGTCTCCATGAGGTCAAAAGACCCGAGCCTACAGGTGGGATGCGTTATTGTGCACCCAAAATCACTCAGGGTGAGTAATATTGTAGGCTATCACTTGTTATATCTTTAAGGAAATACACACTTAGAAACATTACCATGCTCAAAGAGAATTATAGAAAAAAAAGAAACCTGTGTTGCAGAACAACTGTGGTGGTGATTTTTCCGATGTTATTCTGGTGCTATTTTGGACAGAAAAATGCGGCGGGTAAACCATTCCTTTCACAGACTAACTTCCTATAACCCTTGGCAGATCTTGAGCGCTGGGTACAATGGATTTCCTCCCGGAACTCCAAACAAGGACGAAAACTGGAGAAAAGGTAAAAAAGATGATCTTGTCGTCCACGCGGAGGCCAACACTGTGCTCCTGGCAGGCCAAGCTGATCTTGAAGGTTCAATTGCCTTCGTTACAATGTATCCCTGTCGGGAGTGTGCGAAAATGTTAATAGCGGTGAGTGATGTCGAGAACATTCGTATAACTTGATATAGTGAAACCTGTGTGAGACGGGGCCCATAAGCGAGAGAATTTGCATCTTAAAACCTGTATCATATGGATGGCTTAGTGAGAACTTTGAGTGTTGTCTTCATTTCATGCATTAAAATTAATTTCAAACTTTTTCAGATCTTTTTAAAATGGCCATTAGGAAGGTTCCTAATCGTTCACTCTGAGTTAAGAACTAGCCACTATTACACAATTCTGAAAATGTTCTTATGCTTGTGCGCGCCAGCGGGAGTCCGTGAGTTACCGATTTTAAAAGAGGTTACTGTACAGCCCCCTCTTCCATTGTGAGATGTATGTTTACTACCTGTGTGTCTTAGAGTGCAAATTTGTGTCCTTATATCCTAGGGATTAAGTGTTTGTTTTATTACGCAGACGGTTCAGTTGGTTTCCCTCAATATGGAAGTGATAATTAATTGATGACTATCTCTTATTCCATCTGTAGAAGGGTGTCCGTAAGGTTTATTATCTTTCATTAAAAAAAAAATACCAAGCGGATTCAACTGCCATCTTTAAAGAAGCCGACGTCGAGGTCGTGTAAGTAATAACTCTGGTTAGACTGAAATCAACTCTGATAACAACTTGCACATATTTGTGGTGAGAACATTCTCAAATAAACATCATAATGGTGAATGAACAAAAAGAAACAAACAAATGCACCATTGCATCCTATGATCTGGGTTTCAACATCAGAACTCAGTTCCCCAGTTCGAGGGAATATGCCAGGTGAAAGAATAAAAACAATGATAAGTAACTGCATAACTGGGAATTTAGCAGGTGGAAATTACACCAGGTGGCTCTTCTTTTCAACTGTTCCAGATCGATTTGGAATTTGGATTGTTGGTTTATGTTAAGGAAGGAGAACCATAGGACCCGGAGAAAAACTCTTCAGAGCAAGGAAAAAAATCAAAAACAAACTCAACCGCATCTACAATGATTGTGCGAAAAGTTATAAGCTTACGCAAAAATTTTAGTGTTTTATGTGTTCTTTTTTGTATACCGTTTTTCTTCGAGTAAGCACCCGCACTCTAATAAGCGCCCTACCCCAGATACGCCCTCACCCCTAAGCAACTAAGCCATAATGTCAAACAAGTTCCCCCCCCCCCCCTTCTGCCCTCTCGAATGAGTGCTCCCCCTCCTCCTTCACTTTCTTGAATAGAAGGAATACAATAAAAACCTGTTTCTATTGCCACTTTATCTACAATTTTATAAGCTTCAATTAGAGCGGAACCAGTACGGAAAAATATCTATTTTTTCGTTTTCGTTATTTTTATCTCTGTGTTCTCGCGGAGTTTTTCTTTTGAATTGTTGTGCTATCGCTGTGCTAACCCTATAAGTGTCCCCCTCGATTAAGCGCCCTCCTCCCAATAAGCGCTCCCCCTCCCCTCCCCACTTCTTTCTCGCCGAAGTTTTAAATAAGCACCCGGGCGCCTACTTGAGGAAATACAGTTTGTATCTATTGTCAATATCTATCTTATTCAGTTTTGCTGCAATGACTTTTTTAGATTTATGTATGAGCGATAAAGGAGTGTTGAGACTCTACTGACTTTCCCCTCTTCGCAAATTTTCAAGCAATGCTCGGGTTGTTTGTCTTTTCAGCCACGTGTATCGAGGGGAGAAAACGGTTTTCCCTTAATTTTACTTACTGCCTCTGCAGCTTTTTGCCCATATTTACATTCACCTTTTAGTTAATTAAGAGCAGAATCTCATTGATCTATTTTAGGCCCATAAAGCGAGGTGAGGATACAACGCTGGAAGACTACGGGAATCACCTGATCCAGAAGGTTAGCTTCGTAATGCAACAGAACACGACACCGGGTGAACCAAATGGTGCCTATAAAGCCTTGAGGGACAGCACGGAAGAACTAAGGAGCAGGGATCTACAAAGTCCATGGCCGAGAGAGTTAATGGGCAAGGTCAGTAATTGTTAAGTCAGGGGGAAAAAGTATTTAAACTTTATGGAATTTTTTTTTCTGCATCTCTGCTGCCAGATTTTTAATTTGAAGCTAAGAATGTTACTGTTTTTTCAGTTAGTCAAATATCATTAACCCTATCACAACTCACCATAGAGTATTTGTTAGGCAGTCTTAGCATCGGAAAGTGACAAATAAAATAATATTCTTGAAAAATTCAAATCGTTTGATTCTAGATCTTACTGGACAAATGGACAGACTATTTTCTGTTCTTGGCTCTCATTGCCAGCACAAGATCTTTGGAAAACCCTCAAGGAGCAATCTTGATAGATTCTAAAACCTTAAAGGTATGTATTGGCAAATTTCAATGTTACCCACATCGATACATAAAGGACCCTATAGATATTTAGGACGGATCGCAGCAAAAATGTGGCACTGCTTAAGTTAAACACTCAGAAAAAAAGATGGACCTTGAATATCCAACTCTAATTTATCTTAAGATTAACAAGGAACCTGTAAATGCAGCGTGTAAATTTGCAAACAACAAAAAAAATGCGAGTTTAAACCTGCCTTTAATGGAAACGGCAAAGGGCGACAATTATCATTGATTTGACTTAATTTTTTTTCTGTGAAAGAAATAAAAAAGGAAGTCTCATGTTTATGTTTGGTACTAAACTCATAACTCAAGTATTAAAATGGTTGGAGGCGGAGGGTAAGAATTCCTGTTTTGTCGTTTTCCCGTTTGCCCTAACCGCTATGCCAAACTTTCCTATTATAATATACAAGACAACCGTCCACGAAATTTTGCATCCCGGTGACTAAAAGTCACGAAGACAAAAACGATTCAAATCGTGCCTGCCATATCCCACAGATCATAAACTAAAGACATTTCTCAAAGTCGTGAAATTTATAGAAACGAAACAAAGCCCATGGCATAATTGCTCGGAGGAATGCTACAAGTCAAATCCCTTTCTAAATAAAGTTTCTAATTCATTAATTCAGACACATTGTAATGATATGAATCATACTCATATCTCCTAAACTAGAAGAACTGGTATTGTTGCGCCTCAAAAGCCTGCTCGAGAACCTTTCAATTTGAGTCTGATTTTGCATTTAGGAATCTTTTCTGCTTCTTGCAAAAGTCTGGGATCCTGTGTTCTGGTTATGGTTAGTTATATGTATTGAGCATAATTATCATTTACTTATCAGCATCCACGTTACATATAAAACAGATCTTTCTTTTAAACTTTCAGATATCGGCGTTATCGTACAACGGATATCCGAGAGGTGTCAGCAACGATAACGCTGATGACTGGATGAAATTGTCTGCGTTAACAAACGCCATTTGTCTTCGATTCAGCGAAGGACACGATTTTATCGCATTTTCAACGCATTTACCAAAGCTTCATGAAGTAAAAAATCTTGCACAGGTGAGAATCGCGCGATGAAGGCTAAAGCTTTCAAAGTTACTCCGTTAAGTTGTGAC